AATTACAAAACATTTTAATTGTTTTTCCTTCTCTACAAGAGGGTAGAGTGAAGTTTATTTGAACATCGTTTTTGAAACCATTTAAGACAATCGTTATTTATTTTTGAGAATTGTATTTAGATAACTTACCTTTTATATTAATTTTCGCGTGTATGTAAATATTGCAGTTCTTAGCTTAAATTTACGTAATTTTCTATGACATTTTGACTTTACTCAATAATCATTTCAGTAGAAGATTCAAATATACAAAAAGTCGATTCTACCTTAACTTTTATAGTTTTTTCAAAGCCTAAAACACCTGCTAATGCTAGATACTATTATTTGTTGTTTGGATAATATTTACTCCACAGAAGTTATGACTGAAACCAAATAGTTTAGCCTATTATTACCGTGATATTATTATATTAAGTTCTCTAATAGTTTGAATATTTAAATCAAATAACAGAAGAAAAAAAAACACGAAGTAGCAAATATGCTTCGAGAATTTTATTAAATCCCTCGTAGGATCCATGGAGATGGTATTTACTGGTAGCCGAACCTGCACCCAGCTGTACTCTATGTCAAGTTGATGTTTCAATTAAACACATATTAACTAACTGCAGACGATTCAAATATTTGAGGAAGAAACTTTTCGGCAGATTTTATCCCAATCTTTCATCCCTACTTAGTGACCCTATACATCACAATTTAATCAAGTTCATCAAAACAATAGGACTGTATTCACTAATATAAGAAAAAGTGCTATTCTTTTACCTAGTGACTGGCGCAGTATAGCCACTTCTGGCTCTTGTGCCATTAAACTTTAACTAACCAACCAACCAACCATGGAGATGGTCTATTTTAATGACAAAATTCGGTGCAGTTTCCAGTGAAATTACTAAATTAATTTTTTCTCCTTCTTCACATGTTATGGTGCATATTGAAACATAGAGTTTCGAGAAATTTCCAGTTGTTGATTTTTTTTCTGTTCAAAGTTGGGTATGGAATTCGGCTTCTAGCGCTTTCCTTATTGTTTATGTAAGAAAAACTATTTAAGTTTAGTCAAGAAGGATCTAAAAATATTCTGCTCTGTTTGTTGGAGTGCACAATTTAATGTGGATTATTTTTATTTTCAAACCTTTATTTTTTAATAATGTTTAAATCCAGTTTTCGGCAAAAAAAATTCCGAAATTTCAAATTAAATTAAGAGTCATTTTTTCTAAATTTAAAATGGAAATATAATCATGAAGTCAAATTCCAAAAACCTCTTTCTAAAGATATAAAAGTAATATATCAAAATTTTACATAGTTTTCCGAAAAACTACTGAAATGGTTTTTAATTTTTTTTCGCCAAAAAATTCAATGCGACACCATTGGCTTCAGTATTCAAAAGATTCCTAAACGTGAATGCATAGTAAGTGTATTATTACTTAATTCATCTTTCATTGGTTTAAGATCATTAATACGAGGTTTAAACTACGTTTGAATCAAAAAACTTAAAAATTCTGAAGAAAATATTTTGTTTCTTTTTTTTCATTTTTCTAAAGAAAGCTACGAGAGTAATAATTAAATTCTTGAAAAGAAAATAGTTTAACTTAGTTATGCTAAATAATTCTACTTTCCAATTATAAGGATTTAATTTCTGAATGTAAAAGACCTCTAAATTAAGAATTGCGAGTAAAAATATTTCAAAAAACATCTCTTATTTCACTCCTAGCTCCTAGTTCAAATAACTTCAACAAATTATAGTTCAAATTAAAAAAAAAATTCATCGAAGTTCACAAAATAATATTTTAATATTCACATAGTTTGCTCTAATATCGTAAAAACAATGTATGAAAATTTGTTATCTAACTTTCCATCTAATCTACACCTAATTCTTATTTGATAAAATTTAGATAGTTGAAGAAAAAGAAATAAATGGAGTATTTTATAACGGAAATTCTAATAATACGTCTAGAAAGTTCTGGAAGGGCTTAGAGCTTACTACAGGAAGATAAAATAAGTAGATTAGTTTATAGCTTGGATAGAAGGGCAAATAAGAAATTAATCTATAGGTTGTAAGATAAAACAATTAAAATTAAAATAAAGATGCTGAAATGATTAATAAATAATAGGTAAAAAGGTACAGAGTGAAAATGTTTGATGAGCAACACCACATTTCTCTCAAATATTTATTACTCATTCAGAAAGGAAATATTTCTTTTTAATCATTTTTTGAGTCGATGTTTACTTCTCTTTTCCCATTAAAAGTTCTTTAAGAATTCTAAACTTTTTCTTCTAAGACACGCAGCTTAAAATTTGCTTTCTCGAGAACCATCCATAGCTCTCTCTGAAAACGATCCTAATGAATTCTGTCCTTGAAGCAATGAAAAAGAGAGTTATGAGGTTCAAAATGAATGCTTATGGTGCTTTTTCCCGACAAATGGGGCTATCTTGTGGCTATAGAAGTCCAGAAAAATTTCGAAGTTAATTTAAAGAATGTGTATCTAGTTTGAAAGTGTGTAAGAAAATTTAAGGAATATTGAAAACTATGCATTCTCAAAAGAGGTAAGATAAAAGGAATTAAATAGTATTAAGCATTTTAAATTAAAAAAAGATTAATTAGAAATTGATTAAAATTATTGCATTCATTACTTTGCCCATAATATAGTTAATAATACCCTTGATTTCTCTAGCATTGATCTGTCTAATAATGATCTTATCAGCTACTGGTTTATTCAACTTAACATTTTCGAAACATTATCTGATATTCTACTTTAAACATACCACATATTATTCTTTTAAACATACTATATTTTATACAACTCACATTTAATTTATTTAAAAATGATTTCAAAAATATTTATATAACCAAAACAAAATTGCATGTAAGTGCATTGTAAATTGTACATAAATGCAAGAAATAGAAAATGACTGATGCAAAAAATAAGAAATGCACGAAAAAAAACATATAAACTTTTAACTCTCTAATTCTTCACAATTAGAATTAATACAGTGTTTGAAATTTAAGTTGTCCACATTTAAGCCCAACACCCGTTAATTTCAGGAGGGTGATTGTTACAATTACGGTAGAAATGTTGTCAATGTTTAATTAAGGAGGTATTATTGGATAAGCAATGAGACAGTGTTCAATGTCATCTTGCAGGTAGACTCGATGCAGTTAAAAATGTAACTTGGTTATTGTCAAATAATTATGTCTGAATATTTAAAAATAAAAACTAATGTGAAAAAGTAAGAGATACTTTTCCTAATTTGTTTTTTTTTGGGGGGGGGGCGTTCACAATCTTACGACAATCATCACTTACTTCTTATTCATTCTATTCTTTGTATTAAAAGACTGAATTTTTTCTTTGTTCTGTATTTACGAATAAGTATACAAAGTTAATTTAAAATTCAGGGGGTTACACTCATAACCCCAAATCATGAAGGACGATAATTATATTGAACAATAATATTGCACAAAGTACCATCAAGTAATTACATTCAAAATTTAAAAAGACGAAACATTCTTCTGTTGCAGGACAGTTTAAACTGTTGTTTTCATAAAAATAAATATGAAAACTGTAAGAATCCAATTTTCAACACAATCTCTAGAATAATACTCAAAATCTTGCGCATCTTACGTGTTCCATTCTCAGCATTCATATGCACTAGAGTGTATTCTTTTTCAATATTCATATATGTAATCTATCATTTTCTCGCATTGCTTACGTGATACAAAGCAATATTACGAAATTTACCCAGTATCTGAACGGCAAATGGTTTACCTAACCTAAAGAAATATTTTAAGGCGAAAGGAACACTTAGGACCTATTAACATGATTCTGTAATTTTGAATTCGAAAACATGATTTTCAGTAGTTGAAAAATGTTATTAAAAATTTTCAAATAGTAATTAGTTTTATTCCATTAGCAGGTGCTTGCGATGCAGTTAAGATTGTTCTAAACATTTAAACTGCAGATACAGGCGTTATGATCAACTTAACATTTTATTTAATATATAAACTTATATCAAAGAAATAATAGATTTTTGTATTTAAGTAAGAACAGAAAAGTTATGATTGAGATGACGAAAAAAAAAATTTTAATATTTTCTTATTGAAACTTTAAAAAGAATTGCATTTTTTTATTAGATTGAGAATTTTCTATATTTAATTTGTTTTCTCATTTTATATTCCCTTTTTCCCTCTTTTATTTAAAGGTAATTCGAAAATTATTTTTTGAATATTTTTAGAAAGATAAAACATAATTATAATTGGCAAAATATTAAATAAACATTATATTAAAACATTGTACAAAAAGTATTCTTAGCAAGGAAATAGTATTTTCTTTTAATATTTTAATCCTTTCAATATTAACTATGGTTAATAATAAATTTGAGGCATTCTAATGTGATAAATAAATAAGAAATTAAAACGGAATAAAATTTTCTTCAACTCGCTGGTTTAATAAAAAGAATTAAAAAGTTTAAACGAGCTTAAGAAAACATTTTCTTAACTATTAAATACATACAGTTGAAATAATTATTTCGTTTACGAACCCTTACCTTAATTGAGACAAGAGAAGAAAAGTATTGCTTCGCTCGAAAAAGAAAAAAATATTTTTCAATAGAACAATAGCTAAAAAGAAAATGAACATTCGGGAAAACCTGGAGCACAAAGGAAGCTAATTATCTCCCAAAAATGAATTACCAAGTTATTTTCAGTAAAAACTTCAAACGAACAATTTATTTTAGTACTTTCGCTTCAAAAATCCTCATACAAATCCTCACTAATCCTCACAAAAGACATTATTTTGTTATGTTCACTGATCTTATTTGTGAAAGCACGAACTTCTTTAAGTTATGAAAAGCTTTTTGTTGCCTAAGTTTTGATCATGAAGCAACAAAAGTAAAAGGAAAGTACTTTTTAAAGAGTTACTGTTTTCCAAAAATAATGAAAGAATAACGATTCAAATAAGGTTTTGGAAGTTTTGAGTTATTCGATCTATGTTTCAGCCTTTTTTCTTTCTTTTTTTCAGTACCTCCTGAACAATCACCAGAAATCAGCGGAGGTTTTACTGATTATGGTGAGAACCTGACTTTAAGATGTTCTTCATCGAAATCAAGACCTGCCGCCAATCTTAGTTGGTATATCAATGATGTTATGGTATGTTACCTTTTAAGTCTATAAAATAGAAAATTTAAAAATAAAATATTAGCTACTGAATATTATTTTAAGCTTACAATATTAGCTATTAAAAACTATTTTAAACTTACAATAATAACCACTGAATTCGATTTTAGAATTATATGCTAGCAATTTAATCCCAATTTAAAAGTACAATTTTTTCCCTATTGAATTCATGTTTAAGAGTATGCAGAAAAAGTATTTTACTCTAAATGAAGTGATTTTAAGTTTTGATATCTTTTAAATTTTAGATAGTATGTAACTACGATTGAAGAAACGGGGAAATGAAAATTTTGAGTGACATATATAATAAATTCGCTGAAAAGTTTATGTCTTTTTACCCTTAAGTTTTCAATTGGAAATATCTATGAGCTTTTTATTCTCATCTAACCACTTTAACCATCTTAAAACAGTTCGCGTCATAGTGTTCGCTCTTTTAACGGTTTCTCATAAGCGTGGAAATTAAGCTTTATACCATTACAAGTTTCCAATTGAAATTGAAACAGTTTTCCACTTTCATCCAGTCAATCTACAAAATTTAAATGTGACAAAAAAATCCCTCCTCAAAAAAGGGTATTTTTTTTTCAAAAATGTTTCTGAGAAACTTCTCTTATGACACTCTTCAATTATTAGCTGATTTTATTTACTTTGGGGTGTATCGATTTAAATATGGACTATTTTACACAATGTATTTTAATCGTGTGCTAACCAAAATTTATAAGACTTTACCTTCTGATCTATCGGGTTGTTCAGAAAGTAATTTCATTTTTTTTATGCGAATAAAAGGCTATTTTTATATTGAACAAATATTTTATCATATATTTAAATCATATATTGCTTATTCTGGTACAATACCTTTTGATATCTTTCAGGAAGTAGAATGATTCTATAGGCATAAAAGTTTCGTTCTTTTCTGGAGAAAAAAAAACTGATCCAGGTGATTTGAGATTACACTTTGTCGAGTTGATGTAAACAGCTCCTTTTTTCTCCCCAGTGAGGATGAGCTTCAAAAATGGCTAAATTTTTTGTAGTGTAAGAAGCAAATGTCAGGCATCAACGTGACGGTGCATATTTCTTTCCATAAGAACATGAGAATCCTATATGTCAAATTTTGATATAAATCTTTAGACTTTTTTTAGGCCTCTTTAGATCATGAAAGGTTTAATTCTATAAATTCATTATTTCAGCTATCTCACAAGTTGTTATTCACCGGTTTGTATCAATTAATGCCTTTATTATGCCTCCATAAGCTTAAACTGGCTTGGTGCATCTTCATCGAAATTTTCCCGAATTGAAATTTGCAAACTGGTTTTGGCACTGGAGTACTGCGAATATATCTTTTTCAGATACATCGGGTAATTTTTTCTTGCTAGAACCTACTTACCTTTTTGATAGGACAAGAAAGTAAAATTTGAAGAAAATTCTGCTTTTCATATTCCATACTTGAAAGGGCGCCAAAGACAAAACTACTGCCTAGAACCAATCGAACTTATTCACAATCAAGCGTTGATATAGCACCTGTCATTATATATTATGATTAAACGGAACGTCCTAACTGTGAAAATATGTAATTAAGTCTTCAGAAGGAAAGAAGCGAAATTAATTACCGAACAACCCAATATTTCAAAACCAATTGTTCTGCGCAGCATCTTGCGCCGNTTTTCCCGAATTGAAATTTGCAAACTGGTTTTGGCACTGGAGTACTGCGAATATATCTTTTTCAGATACATCGTGTAATTTTTTCTTGCTAGAACCTACTTACCTTTTTGATAGGACAAGAAAGTAAAATATGAAGAAAATTCTGCTTTTCATATTCCATACTTGAAAGGGCGCCAAAGACAAAACTACTGCCTAGAACCAATCGAACTTATTCACAATCAAGCGTTGATATAGCACCTGTCATAATATATTATGATTAAATGGGACATCCTAACCGTGACATTGGCTGTGAAAATATGTAATTAAGTCTTCCGAAGGAAAGAGGCGAAATTACTTACCCAACAATCCAATATTTCAAAACCCATTGTTCTGCGCAGCATCATGCGCCGTTTAAATCCTTGAGATCTTTAATTTTACAATCCTTTAATCTTCATAGTACTAAAACCTGAAATAAATAAATCTATTAGCATGGATAAATAAAGTGACTTTAATTTATAGATGGTGCCAGAGGGTTCCGTGGCTTCACACAAGATTATCTTGCACGATGATCAGCTTGAATCTGCTTCTGCCCAGTTAGACATACCAATGGACTCAAGCTCACTTCCAGACGGAGTTCTAAGACTCGCATGTGAAGCTTCCATTTCAAATTTTGTCACATCCATATCGAAAGAATTGCTCATATCGAGAGAGCACAATGACCAGCCTCAACATCATAAGACTTTTGATCCACAGGAATCCATTCAGTCATGCTCTTTCATGATTTTCAAATTTTTTTATTGCAAGACATTCACGTTGTTGATGTGGTTCATGTTGTGTTGGGAACTCTAACATTTTTATTTCCATAAATGTTGTTGTGTCATTATCGTGTAGATAAATTTAAAATAGTTACGAAAATGTAACTACATAATAAGTAATTAAATATAAACTGTCTTTTTTAATAAAATACAGTAGTACTGAAGAAATGGACTGCAGAGCGAATTTCAAAATATTTTTAGAATTATCCAAATTTGTACAAAATCTATATCGTCGACTGGGAATACTTTGACCAATTTCAAACTCTTAGTAAATATTTCGTGTATTTTCTATTGGTTAGAGAGTGAGCATATTTTCTGAACTCGGTTCTGGGCTTAAAGGTTTCTTTCATATGTAATGCATTCATTCACCTTTAAGTAAAAATTTAAAAACATAGTTGGCTAAGTTATCTCAATAATCAGGGTAACTTTACCTTTGTTATAAGTAATTTTGCAACTTCGAAGGACAAATTTTGAAATTCTGGTGTCTAATTTCGTTACATTGGTGGGCAAAGTTACCCCTATAACCAAGGTAACTTTGCATAGCAGGTTTTTTTTACTTTTAAAAACTGTCTCTGAAATTAACATTTCGAAAATGTTTGAACAAGAATGTAACAGATGAAAAAGTTATTTTATTCATTCTTTTTATAAATTATATTTATACTAGTTATTAGTTAAATTGTAAGATTCTCCTTGAAAAATTTGAGTGATGAAATCATCGTAAAAAAAAGAAAACATATATGTTGGCACATAATATAACTCATGCTGTATGACTTAATCTTTATAAATCTTCTTCAAAAAGAAATTTAGCTAATCTTTTTTTTCGTAGGGGGAGGAGGAGATGCATCACTCAGAGAAAAGTTAAATTCATACACTTTTTCACGAGAAATGAACAATTTTTCTTTCCATTTGAGTTCTCGAATATAACACATATTTTTAAAACTTTTGCCAGACATTAATTCAAAGAGTTACTTCTTGCAAAATTTCGCAATCACGAAGTCTCTTGCGTGCAAGTTAAAGGGATTCACCAATTTTGTGTTTTCTTTCATAAATTTGTTACATTTGCAGAAAACCATCAGCTGGTATGCAATTTGAAAACGGATGCATGTTTTTTAAGAAGATGAGTACTGTTATTTTACCAAAAGAATCTGTTTGTTTTTTTTTTGTTTTTTTTGAAAAAAACTCGATAAAACAATTATGTCAGCATTGGGGTCAGGGCGAGTCCAATCCGGGGCGGAGTAACTCCAATTTACCCATAGATCATCAGGTAAAATAGCTCAATTAAAAGATTATAGGAAAGTTTAGGTATAAAAATGCCTCTTCAATGATTTTTATGTGCAGCATAAAATGGTGATAACTTGTAGTACTTATTAGATTTTGTTACGAGCTTCTTGGATCAATGTTGCTAAGATATTCAAATTGTTTTCTCAACAATCAGCTTTCAAACTGATAAATTGTAACTAAATAGAAAAACTTCTGTCTCAATCTTGCAACCAACATTTCTGATTTTTTATTGGGCCCAAAGACCAATAAATAGTTTTTTTCCAGTTCTTTTAAAGAATGGAAAAAGTTACTCCAATGGACAAAGTAATCCCAGTTGACGATGTTCTGAAAGAAGAATACGTATCTTGCCTAATAATTAAATTCAATTTTTTTCACAATTTTTTTTTAAAAAAAGATTTAAAAATAATATTTATTTAAAAAAATATTTATTTGGAATATCTGTTTTCTTATAAATAATTTATTTATAACTATGTCCTTCTGTTTGTAAGAAATTGAAATTTTTTTGCTACTTTTAACAATAAAAAGCATACAAAAAATCTGAGCAGTAAACATGTTGCTTGTTTTTGAAAAAATACAAAATTCAAAAAGTAGGAAAACAAAAATATGATGAAAATTTCATAATAATCATCAACAGCAAATTGTAGTTTCAAAAAAGTACTTATAAATAATGTTTGCTTGTATCACCATTTTAAATAATTGTCTATTAGAAAATTAGTTCAACGAATTTAAAATTTCCAATCCATTCTCTATTAAAAATGTAAGAAACCAAGAATTCAAGATGTAAAAATAATTAAATTATCAACTGAACTAAATGTTTTAAGTCGACAATACCCCTTTTTACTTTTGGAATTCTTTCAATATCATTTTTGATCTGCATTTCTTATACATTTGTGACAGAATCTGGTCGTAAAAAAAACTGTTTCCAAAAATATCCAATTCATATTCAACTTACGAATATTTTAAAAGATGTGAGTAGCTATGGTTGCCAAAATGTAATGCATTAAGATCAATCACATAATATCACTGGAATTGAAAAATTTGAAGAATTTCCTGAATTTGAATAATTCTTGATCGAAATATAAAAATACGGGTCCAATACTTACTCGGAATCTATATGAAGCAAAAATAGCGTGAAAATACCATTTTACAGTGAATTTCAATTCAGTTTAAAATTTAAAAAAATTCGAAAATTGAAATTTTAGCTCAGAGCATTTAAACTAATGACTTAAACTAGTGACAACATAAAAAGTAAGAAATGATTTATTTAAAAAAATAAATCTAAAATAAATTTCTAAAATTTTCAATAAATATATGTGCAGGTTTAAATTGTACAAATAACATTAAAATTGCTGTGATTCTAGTTTGGAGAAATATTTATGTCTTTTTTTCGCATTAAGTTTTCCTAATGACTTGATTATATTTTTTTTAAAAAAAAACTAATTATCTTCAATGCTTAAAAAATTATTTCTTAAAACGTATAAGATTTTTTTCATATTTTTTTTAAATTTTCTTAAATAGCTATGGGCTGATATTTAATTATGTTGAACTTTCACTATGGGGAATTATTAATGGGGATAAAATAAAATTTTTGAACAAGCATAGATTTTTTTCTATCAGACTTTGACCAATTTTCTCAATTTTGTTAGAAATTAATCATACTTTAAAAAACATTGTTGAATAGTGTATCATGTATTTAAATCGTTTTTAATAAAAATATTTGAAAACTTGTTTCACTTTTAAATTTTCTTGCTTTTAAAAATTAAATTGTGTATGTAATGTACATTTTTCCGAAATTCAAAAGATTGCCGACTTCATTCAAAGATCAAAACTGCGCAGAAGTTCGGGTGATTGCAAATGTACTCATTCTGACTTTCATAAAAATATGGTGATTGATGTAAAGCAGAATAAAATGATACGCAGAGGAAATGGCTAACAAACGATTGTTGAGAAGTAGAGAGAGCAACCCATTTAATTTAATGATTAAATCCAAGTAAGATGTTCGCACTCTGCGAGAGTTTAGGACGTAAAAAGGGAAAGTAAAGTCTCCGCATTCTTCCTATTTTGTCAATTCATGTTTCTATACATTCTGTTCTTAGAAAAATAATTTGAAAGGCAATTAAAATTTCTTCGGTAGCAATAATAATAAATTTTAAAAGAAACAACGTAATTAGTATGGAAATTAAAAACTCGAAAATGTGGAAAGTGTTAAGAGACTGTCAAAAGTAATAGAAAATGCGTTATTGATAAATAAACACTTTTTTATTTATCAATAATCCAGTTTTCGCATTTTACTGAAAATTTATCGCAATCCATATTGTAGATGGGACAATTTTTTTTCTTACCATTTACGGGAATAAAACTGCTTAAATATTTATTCTAAGAATAAAGTAGCACGTTAGTTTAAAAAATAAATACCTTAAATATGATAAATATGATAAAAATATTTTTTTAGAGTAAACAAAATATTTTTCGGATGTATGGTTGTACAAGATTTTTTCTATCCCAGTCGGATAATATCGGGTAGACAAATATTAAAAAAATTATTTTTCATACTAAAATATTTATTTATAACATTAAATTAATGCAAGGACTCTTCAACATAGTGAAACATATGGAAATATAAAAATCAAAGAGCATAAGTTAGTTTTGTAACATGCAGGGTAATTATAGTTAAAGTCAGCCTCTAGAAATCGTTCTACTTATTGAAGTTTTATGAAACTTGGTAAATACGTTATACGGACCCTTGGGAAACGATTTCTGAAATTAAAAAAAACTATTCACTTTTTGACCATCAAAACAATTTATGCAAATTAGTCAAACCTATAAACGGACTTGCAGTTAGTACCATAAAATTATTCTGCGTGCTTTTATCATCGATATTTAGGCCATTACAGAATAAAAAATCGAGTTTTACTAGAAATCTATTTTATCAGAACAGTAGCAATAGCTTAGCTGCACTGCGTGACTATCTTCTTTTAAAGGTCTTGCGAAAAAAGCCCATGTCGAAGAATAGTTTGAAGGAGATGATTACGAAATTTGAGAAAAGAGACTTGAGTGAACTGCCAGGAGGAGGACGGAAACTCGTTGTGAATTTGAATTCCAACTATTCTTCAGCAAATATTCGATCAGTTGCATATTAGAGGATTCCTCTACGACCCATTTCAAAATGGTATCCGTACAAAATCCAAGTGCTGCAAATGTTACAGTAACTGAAACAAGTGTTATCAGATGTTGAAGCTACAACGAAAAAAAATCTTCAAGAAATTAAACTCCACAGAATAAAAACAGGGATTTAAAATCAAAACTTTTCAAAACTATGGTGATGGCAAAAAAATAGGTTATTTTGCTTTTTATATATTTTTAAATAACTTTGTATCTGTCTTCAGCTAGTTTAATGCGATTTCAGATAAATTAGAGCAGTAATCTTATCAAAAAAATCGGTCCCGGTTTTATCTTCTCAATCCAGTATAGTATTGCTCTCCCCTAACTTTTGAAATCATCTAAAACAAATTTCTAACTATTTTTCACTTGAAAAAATAGTGTATCACTTAAGACGAGCTGACTTTTTCCGATTTTTTTATTAAAAACTTTAATGTAACACTTTGACTGCACCTTATTAATATGCTGTTTATCCCATCAATAGCAAAACTTTTTCATTCTAATAACTAACAGTTTTTCTTAATTTAATAATACTATAGGCAGACAATACAATAATTTATCTTAACAGATAATACTATTTACAGCATATATACTATTTAGAACTGCTAATTATAACATATAATAATTATTATACTTAATTCAATAGTACAATAGACAGACAGTAGATTGTCTGCCTATCCAGCGAGCAGAACTGGTAAATGTTCTTTTTTTCCGTTTTCGGCAAATGTTAAAATCAGGGACTAATATCGGGTTGAGTAAACATTTTCCGCCAAAGAGAGATGCCTTCACGCCAACAGCAGCCATTCCCTTGGTAGTCAACCATTCTCCAAACGGGTTTTTGGTTTCTAAAGATGAAGGTTGGAACTGCACAACTGTGTAATTTGGTTGTCAAAACTCTATTATCTTGACCACCAAAAAAGTGTTCAAAATGGAGCTATCACGTCAACAGATCAGGACGATTATGTACTATGAATTCCGAAATAAATTCAGTGCAACTAAATGCCACAAAAAAAAAATTTGAAAGTTTAGGTTTTCTTCTTATGATACAGTAAAAGTTTTGTTTCGAAAGTTTAATGCTGGAAATTTCGACATTGAAGATGAACCACTTCTGACCACCCTATTGAGGTTGATTGTGACCGGTCAAAGAAAATCATTTATCAAGACAGAAATGTTTCAACACGAACTATTGCGCTAGAGTTTTACGTTTGCCAAAAAACAATAGTTAATGCTGTAACCCAAAAATCCAACGTTTAAGTTTAATCTATGGGTGACTCACGAAATGACAGTAAAACACAAAAGCAAGGGGAAAACGGTCTGCTTGCTCTTCTCAGAGATCGAAGAAAAGAGAAAATTTTGGACAGAATTGTGACCTGTGATGAAAAATGGTTGTACTACAGCAATACTGTGGTAAATGATGGTGGTCAGCACCCGGGGAATCAGCAGGTTTGGTAGCAAAACAAACGCTAACTAACAAAAAGGTGCCTCTCTGTATCTGGTGAGATTGTAGTGAAATTTTCTATAACGAGTACCTGAAAAGCGGGCAGGCTATCAAAAGTACAATGTACAGCTATGCTAATCAAAATTAACGATGCCATTGGCGAAAAACGAAAAAACGAGTTCAGAAGGAAGTTGGTTCTCTTTCATCACGATAACTTCCGACCACATGCTAGTGCGTTGACCAGGTGGACGCTCGAAACGCTGGAGTGAGATTTGATGCAA